TTCCTGTGTCCTCACATGGCAGAGAGAGAGCTCTTTGGGGTCTGTTCTTTTTAAGGGTACTAATCCCATCATAAGGACCCTACCTTCCTGACCTTACCTAAGTCTAATTATCTCCCAAGGGCCCTATCTCCAAATACCATCACGGAGTTAGATATTCAACCTACAAATTTGCTTTGGGGGCTGAGGGATATGGGGACACAGTTCAGTTTGAAATGTCTGACTTAGGAAAATGTTTGCCCAAAGTCTTTTTCTTTTCTTTTTTTTCCCAAAGTCTTTTAATTCACTTAGCAAATCCTTTATATTATCTTGAAAGATATCAAAATGATTAGTAAAACGTCGTTTCTTGCCAAGGATTGGGCTATGTTTTATTGCTTTTTTTTTCCCTCTCCAAAATTTCAGCCGTTCTGGTTTACCAGTGGTGTGGGATTTCCATGTACTTTTTTTGGTTTTGGTATTTTATTACTTGATTAGGGCATATTGGAAAGAGAAATGCTGATTCCCCACGCAATGTTTTTACTAACTTCCTCCAACAAGAGGGCTATTAGAAGGGAAAGCTTTTTTCTAAACTGTTCAGGATTACTAGTCCACTCTATATTTTCCCAGCAGTCTTGAGGAATTCATTGTCCTCCAGTCAAACCTTGATATGTATGAAGGTTGATTTAGCCAGTCGTGTGTATCAGCCTCTTTCTCATTTGCTTATTGGCAAGTAGAGCATGTCTCTGGTTCTTTAGACAGACTGAATTTATAAGGATCTGGTCCAAAGATAACCTTCATTCTCTTGACCTTGCATATTTGCTCGCTTTCCTTCCCCACTTTCCATGTAAGTGCTTTTATGCTGGAATTGCCAACTCTGGTTTTGTAGCATTGACTGTGGGGATGAGAAGTCAGATTTTTTCCTGTGTCATTTTTTTGTTAGTAGTCCTAAAGGTGGGTTAAATGTCTTTGATTTTCTTAACCATGTTATTCACTTGGTAATTTATTTTCTCTTGGTCTCTTGACAGCTATTTTAGTAGTTTGTAGCTAAGCTATTTTGCTGTTTTGATTTTATCCTTTTGAAGAATTCTAAAGCATTAAGCAAATCAGTTTGACCCCCATTTCTGAGTGAACAAATGTGTTTTAATAAGACAAATGTATTAGGTTGTCGGAAAAGTCATGACATATTTTTCTGTTTTTCTATGCAAAAATGCATCATGACTTTTCTAATGACCCAATATTTGTTTCAGCTCAAGTGAATGAAAAAGTCACCTTCTTCCTCTGGTGATTAATGAACACAGTGTTTTCAATGATTTGCTCACAGAACTGCTAAGATTTTGTAAATAGGAGGAAGAAGCCTGAGGGGAAATTTTTAGGTCTCCAACTATTTCTGTGTATGATACTAAGGAATTTGAAAGATAAATATGCTAGATTATGTTTAGTTTTAAGAACTCAAGTTATTGAAGAACTTTAAAAAGGAAGCTTTTTAAAAATAAAAATGTTATTTTTTAATATTTTTTCAGAATAGGATACCTCTTGAAGTTAATATAAAGGACTTCCTTAAGCAATTCCAAGACTTGAATTAAAAATTGTATTTCCACGTCCAGCAGACGGCATAATGGTTACATCACTGGACTCCCATGTAATCGACCTCGGTTCAATTCTCAGATTTAGCAGCTTAAAACATACCAGGTGTCTGTGCGTGTGCACCCAAACTCCCGAGAGAAAAATGGAGAAGGGATTGCAGTGTGGACATTCCCCCCAGGCAGGGAAGGGGGTTTAGTGGTGGTGGTGATTTTTCACTTTCTGTCTGTCTTTCTCTGTCTTTCTGGTGAGCGCACATGCCCTATAGCAAAAATCTCTCAAAAAAAATTTATATTACCTTTTGTGAACCTGAAAAGCCATATAACGGGAGCTTGCTAACATTTTTATGGTTCTTTGGAATTTTGAAAGCCTATTTATACACATTTTTTATTTGTTCCTCAGAATAAGTCTGTAAAATAAACTAAACAGGTAATAGTAATATTCCCATTAGGAAAATTCACTTGCCAGTGGAGCACAGTTGATTATTGTCATACTAAGTATTTAGGTCTCTCTTTATTTATTTTTTTATCTTCTTTTATGAGATATATCTTTTAAATTCTTTAGTACCATGCAAAAAGATGGCTGTAGACCTAAAAGTTTTCGCCCCCCACCCCCCGGTTTTTTCCTTCTGTTTACAAAATCTCAGCAGTTCTGTGAGCAAATTATAGAAGGCATTGTATTCATCAACCATCAGACAAAGAAGTTGACTTCAGTGATTTTACTCTATGAGCGAGGGGGAGAGAGCAGAGCAGAGAGAGACGAGATAGGTTTTCTTGGCACAGTCTTGTGAGCCATGATCCTCCTTTCCCAGCCTCCCGGTTAGCTAGGGTTATAAGTGTGCATGGTAGCTCCCTGAATAAGATGGGCCAGGGACCAAACCTGGACCCTTCACACAGCTTTCAGATCCGAACTGTGGTGCTATCCAAGACACCACTAATTTTATTGTTTTCACTTTTGATTTTGAAAAATTGTAAATGTGAAATAATAGATATTTTTGGTAAAACCCCTTATGCCCATTATTTAAGTGGGTATAAGCAATTGTTAGTTATTCACATACATTGTATTAGCTCTCTCATTTTTTTTTTGCTATATCTTAAAGCTAAACTCATAGATTTTTACTTTTGTCCCTGAATATTTTAAAATATATCTCTAAAAGACATTTTCTTAATAATCACAATACTCTTATCATAACCAACACAATTAGCAATAATTACTTGATATCACCAAGTACTCTGCTTTAATTCAAATTTCTCTAAATATACCCAGAAAGACTTTTTACAGTTGGTCTGTTTTTGAATAAAGGATCTAAAAGGCTTTGCATTTGACAGTCATGTTATGTTTCCAATATCAGTTTTAATCAAAAACAGTACTTCCCATTCCCATTTTTCTTTTAATTTTGTTGACTAGAAGAGACCAAAAGGAAGATTTTAAAATTTTTAAATATTTAAATTTTTTAGTGTTTCTTCTATTAGTCAGTTTCCTGAAATGTAAATTTTAATTCTAAATTAAAAAAATAAGAAGAAGACAACTTTATGTCTATCTGATAAAGTAAAAATCAAATTTTTGTTCTATTTAAATGAGGTCCACTGAGCAGTTTATTATAATTGAAATGTTGTTGTAACAGCTAATTTCATAAGAAACTTTAAGATCAAAGCATCCTGAATAACTGTGTTCTTATGAATTTTATGCTTATATAACAGAATACACTCAATAATAATGAGGATGAACAAGTAAAGAAACTTTAGTCTTTGCCAATAATATAGGTTTAGTTCATCTTTCTTTCCAGCTGATTAGAGAAATACAAATGGTAAATATAATTCTATCACATGTTCTGTTACGTATATCAGAAGTCTCTTGAACATTTATTGTGTTGTTTGCAAATACTTTGTCATTGTTATTGCTCTTATCAGTGAACAATTATCAAGTAATTGTTATATAGTATCAACAGTAATAGTAATTTTTAAAGATTTTATTTGATCTATCCTTTTGCATTTCTCGTACCTCTATAATCTATCTGTTTTGCAACACATATTCTGCTGTTCACTGGTAAACTGGTTAAACTCCCAACCTCCAGAAATGGCTCTATCAAAAAAAAAAAAAATAGGAGAAGGAAGGGGCTGAAAGTTATCTTAGCTGTGGACAGTGGAAATCAGAATCGTCACAGAACAGAGATACTGTACTTGTGGCCAGTGGTCTGGCCCAGCAGGCAGAGAGATAGGCCTGGTTGATACTACCTCTGGCTCAATTGGGTAACATTTTTCTTACCATGTTCTGCACTGAGAGATATTAAAGTCATCCTATAAAGATGTATCACTATTGTTTTGCAAACTTGCTTTGGCAGAAAAGACTGTAATCTTTTAAATATATCTGCCTACCTTTTTCAACTCTGTACCTGCAGTAGCCTTGTCAGTTGTCTTTTAAGGAAATATATCAAGAGAAAGATAGAGAAAGACAGTGGGTGCAGTGACTTACCACTTTAAATCTTCATTGCTGTGACTAAACGATTCCCCTAGTGGGCTGGCTGCACAGCCCCCCTTTGGGAGACAAGCAGCATGATTGAATGAAGGCACATTCTTTCCAGATGCTCAGTTCCACTGTCTCTGTTTGTTATTCAGTGTTCATCAAAGGATTTAGAGGAAAGGCATAAGAATCTACTATGTAAAAATAATTCACTGGCATTTCCTAATGGTGTGTTGAGTTCTGGTTCCCTGAGGAGCAGTAGTATTTCCAGAGTTTTCTTTGGTTTTCATAAGTAGTTTATCTGAGATCCTTATTCAGAATACAGTAAAGAAATATGATGAAACTGCAAAAATGCTATTTAAAAACTTTTCAAATTAAAAACAATATTGCACATGAAATAATTAAATGTTTTGGCTCTTCTGAAGCCCATTGGTTAAAGTTCATTTTCTAATGTACTGCTGTAATTAAATTATAACCAATTGTGTCCTCGTATTTCAAAGTCAGGTCCTTCTGCTCTGTCCCCTCCCTTCTCAGAGTAATGACTACAAAGTAATGGCAACTGGTTAAAAAAATAAAATTCTTGCTATTCCTGGGAAAGGAACATTTACATAATAGCATATCCCAACCCATTTCTTAAAATGCATTTGTGTTTTGCATATATCTAATGTTAAAGTTAGTGCAGCAGCTATTCATGTATAGTATATTGTCATACTGAACTGGTAAAATCTCACTTGGTAAGAACCCAAGTACTTATCTGTTTTCATGTTTTACAACCTAACCACATGTACAATAGCAGACCTTGTTAAGAGTCTGATCATGTCATATAATCTTGACAGAAGTAATTATATCAACACTTCCGTAAATTCAGTTGGCCTTTTCTTCATTCCCCTTTGGATGGGTCAGTGTTGTTAAGGGCATGAGAGAAGCACAAGGTGATTTTATTTCAAGAGTTATTGATTCATGCTTCCTCTGTTTTGTTTCAGGTGGATCATTCATGCTATGGAGTATGAACTACAGATCCGTAACGGAGACAAGCCAGCCATGGACTTATATCAGCTCTCACCTAGTGAAGTTAAACAACTTCTGCTGGATATTCTTCAGCCTCAACAGAATGGAAGGTAATGAGAACCTTTGGTTACCTACAGGATACTCTACATTTATACTAACCTCATAATTTTGCATAATATACATATGAAATTAATAAAATGCAGAGGTTACCCTACTATGGTAGATGATATAAACAAAGATACTAATTAAAAGTCTGTCTTCAGTTGTGATTTTGTGTTGATTTGATATTTAGCTTTTTTAGGTATAATTCGTGTTTCTTCATTTTCATTCTGTGTAAATGTAACACTTCATACCTCTTTGGTCAGTCCTCTTTCTGAATCTTTGTAACACTCAAGATTACCTCCCAAAATTTCAGCAGACGGATTGGATTTGGTAACATTATTTAATATGTTGTCTGTGACTACATAGACAATAAACAACAGGGCTAAGCCCTTTCAGAGACTTATCTTATACTGACCTTAGAATAAGAGCAAAACATTTTTATTACAAAAAAGAGCTGTAATGTAATTATTAAGACAAGTATTTAGGCAAGTATTTGTTGAGCACACTTGTGCCTGGTACTTTCCAAGGTGGTATAGTTAATATGCCTAGGAAATTCTGTCTAAGCCTTCTACAAAAGTCAATTTAAACAAAGGGAAAGACATCTGTGCTCTTAAATAAGAACACTTAATGTTACCAAGATATCTGTTGTAAAATTTTATGCAATTCCAATAGCATTCCTACAAGCTGTTTTATAGAGTTAGACAACTTAGTATTAAACATCATATGGAAAAAGATGCAAGAATAACAGGAAAACATAAAAGAAGGACTTGTCCTAATAGACATTAAACATAGAACAGACTTAAATAGAAAGTTCAGAAATATAATATAACCTCAAGTCCAAATGGAAATTTAGGATATGATGAAGGTGACATATCAAATCACTTGGACAAGGATAGACTTTTTAAATAAATAGGATGGAACAACTGGATAGCAATTTAGGAAAAGATAATATAAAATCCCTACTTTGTATCATTCACAAGAATAACCTCTAAATAGATTAGAAATCTAAATGTGAAAACTGAATTCCTATAAGTACTAAAAGAAGACATGGATAAATTATTTTTTAACCTTAGTGTGAGAAAAAATTTCAAACTATGACTACCCAACGGCAACAAAAGGAAAGATAAATAAAGTTATATAAGAGTTAAAAACAACATCCTCTTGCATGGTAAAAAATAAATAGATATGTAACATCAAAAGATAGCTAGGGAACCAGAGCAAAACTATGCCACAGAGAACCATTCTTAAAATTGAGGGATAGAAAGATGAAAACCCAAGAGAAAAATAGAGAAGAAACATGATTAACCAATTCATTAAAAAAAAAAAACTATAAAAATGGCTTTCAGATATTTGAAAAACTGTTCAAACTAATAATTAGAGAAATGTAAATTAAAATGTTGAACTCTTTCTCATGTTTCATTTGGTGAGGCTGTGGGAAACAGGTACTCTCATGTATAGATGGTAGGTGTAATTGCATATGACCTCACAGAGAGGATGAGGAAGAAAAGCATTAACCCAAGTACTTTTGGAAAACATTATTTTGACTGGATACTGTAAAGTTAAAGGGGGAAAAAAAAGGAACTGAACATAAATATTGTACTCACACACCTCAAAGATGTATGATTTCAATTCTGAAATTACTTTATGTTATATATGGGGATTGAATAAACAAGTACATACATTGGGGATAATGAGAATCAGATGTACTGTTGGAGAAAGTAGTTATAAATAAGGAAGAGGACTTTCCTGTAGTTTTTAATTTTTTCAAAATAAAAAACCAAAAAGTTAAAAAGAGGGCCAGCTTAGTACTTCAGAAGTAATTCACTACTCCAGCAAAGCTCGATCTGTGTGGAACACCCTAGGTTTGGTTCCTTAGTTAACCTCTATGCATTGGGTACACGACCATAATGCTGGATGGCTGGAAAGACTGGGTGAGGGGTGATTATGACATGAGACCCTGTGGAGGATACTTGTTTTTTGTTTTTTTTTCTCTCTCTTTCTCATAAAATAAATAAACTTAACAAAATAAAAAAATTAAAGTGTTATAAATAACTTTATACCTCCATTGTGAGTATTCTTGCATTTTTACTTTTTATATTGTTCTAAGGTTGAAGTATCAACCATGACTTCATAGAACACTGAAATAATCTTTTTTACTATTTTTTGGTGGTTGTCATTATACAAAAGGAATAAGGGAAAAAATCAAATGCAAACTGTTGGGTATTCAGTTATTCAACTAAAACATCATCAAGGAATCTTTAGATTGTTTGGGCTTCTTCACTTTAGCCAAATAACTGAACCTAGTAATAAAAGTCTGGGTCATTATAAGAAAGCTTACAGGTCCAGCCCCATGGCCTAGTGGTTAAGGAGCTTAATCCCACATGGTCTACTGTTGTTTGAATCTGAACTCAGTGGCTTGAAAAACATGCTGGGGTTCAGACCAGCAGTTGGCTTAATGGCTATGTCATTGGACTCCCATTCGCTGATGCTCAAGTCCCCCCCTTTTTTTTTTTTTTTGAGAGGTTTTTGCTATAGGGCGCATGCGCTCGCCAGACAGAGAGAGACAGAGAGACAGAAAGTGAGAAATCACCCCCCGGGGGGATGGCCACACTGCAATCCCTTCTCCTCCATTCTCCTCTCAGGATCTTGGGCATGCACACACACATACCTAGCGGGAGTTTTAAGCCACTGGGTCCGGGACTCGAACCACGGTCGACTACATGGGAGTCCAGCGACAAAGCCATTACGCTAACTGCTGGTTCCTCAAGTCCCCTATATAAACTGGCTCAGTATTTCCGTGTAGTCTATGCATGTCCTTCTGTATACTTTAGAGCATCTCCAGATTTCTTATAATACCTAATACAGTGTCTACACACAGCTTTAGTCACTGAAAACTCAGGTTTTAGTTTTTAGAACTTTCTGAATTTTTTAAGAAATAGTTTTGAATGGCAGTTGGTTAAACCCATGGATGTGAAACCTGAAAACACAAATGGTCTAATATACATCCAAAAAGGATCCCTTTCTCACCTAGGTAGTGATAAAACTTCATCAGTCCTCTTTCACCAGAATAACAACAACAAAATGTCTTTTTCTGTTTACTATATCCTGCATAGCTAGTTTCATACCTAGAAATATTGTTGATCATAGCATTCTTCTCTTATGATTGGTTACACATTTCACTCCGCGGCCTATTTAAAATACCATATGTAAAAAAGAAATGTACATTTCTTCCTGTCTTTAGCTTATGTAACAATATACTCCTATGATACTATGTCTTATTTTTAAATTATGCAAATGCTGTATCTTTAGCACTTTATGAACATCTCTAAGATTTAATATGTATCTAATACATGAAAACAAGGGATCTAAAATTTTGACATTACTGCATTCTTATTATGACATGTAAGCTTTTTGTATCTAAAAATAAAGAACAAGTATTGGTGAGGCTGTGGTGAAAAGGGAATGCTCTGACACTGTTGATGGGATTGTAAATGAATACAACCACCATGGAAAATAATATGGAGGTGTCTCAAAAAGTTATACATAGAATTACCATATGACCCAGTAATCCCACTCCTTGATATTTACCCAAAGGATAGGAAAATACTCCGTTGAAAATACACTTGCACATCATGTTAATTGTAGCATTATTCACAATTGCTAAGATGTGGAATTCTGTCTGCTTAAAAACTAATGTCTGGGTTGAAAAACTGTGGCACATATGTACTGTGGAATACTATCCAGCCGAAAGAAACAAAGACCCTATCATCTGACTTAAAGTGGATGAATATAGAAGAGTTAATCTTAAGCAAAGTGAGCCAGACTTTGAAAGCCACACAATGTATATCCCTGCTCAATATGTACCGAACATCTTCATTCTGTGGCAGAAATGGAGGGGATCCAAAGATATGATAGTAGAGAGGGTAAGTGTAGATACCAGGGACTGCTTGGTAGAGGTGGGTGGAAAGGGCAGAAGGAAGAAATATTTAACAAACTAAAGAATGTAAAGTTATTTGTTGAAAAAATTCTATAATTTTTGCCTAATTAAAAAAATTTTTTAAGAAAATTTTTTAAAAAGTTGTGTCTGGTTTTTTAGAACTGGGACCTCAGCAATATTTAAATAGCAAACTTTTATAAGGTTTTAAATAAGGTAATTTCATTATGTACATAATGCTTTTTTTCTTTTTGGGGGAGAGGTTTTTGCTATAGGGCGTGTGTGCTCACCAGAGAGATAGCCAGAAAGCGAGAAATCACCCCCCAGGGGGGATTAGCCACATCTCAGTCCCTTCTCTTCCATTCTCCTCTCAGGATCATAAGCATGCACGCACACATGCCCAGCATGAGTTTAAGCCACCGGGTCCAGGACTTGAACCACGGTCAACTACATGGGAGTTCAGCAGCATTGCCGTTACGCCAACTGCTGGTCCCTGTACATAATGCTTTTTTGAGTATTCGTTTATTTATTCATTTAATGTTCACTAAGCACATCTCTGGGAGAGGTTTATAGGGTTGATCAAGTTATATAACTTCTATGCCTTCATGGAACATACATTTAATATATGTAAGAACCACATAAGGTTATTCTAAAAATGGCCACTCCTGTGCTTTTATGGAACTGCTTTGTGTATCAGAAAATCACTTAATCATGTAGTCAGCAACTCATAGCTTACTAAAGAATAACGTTTTGCCTATTGAATTTTTTAAAATCTTGGAGATGTTCTCTCCTGCAAGCTCTGTTTTCACTATGAAATATTTACTAACCTCTGTAACACATGGTAGATATGCATCATTGATGGGTTTTAGCTTTTATTGCTCCCCTATTGGAACAATTAATCCATATTGAAAGCTCTGTTTTCTACCAGAGCAGGCTTGTTTTTCAACTCTGAGACATTTTCCTTTGGTCTGCAGATGTTGGCTGAACAGGCGACAGATCGATGGGTCTTTGAATAGAACTCCCACTGGGTTCTATGACCGAGTGTGGCAGATCCTGGAGCGCACGCCCAATGGTATCATTGTAGCTGGAAAACATTTGCCACAGGTAAAGCCCCACTATGTTTATTTCAGGAAAAGGGACTTCTAAAGGGACCTAAAGGAGTGGAGAATTCTTCCCTGTCTGTTCTGCGAATAACAGTTCTGTTGTTCAGTGTTATAAGAGTATTTAAAGGTAGGGTATCCGGATACCTAAAGGGATAAAAATACTAGAAAATAGGAAGTCTAATCAATTTCATTG